GTTTCAATTCAGGCGAAACGATTACTCGGCCTTCATCGCTTGGAATACGAGCCGTGCCATGCAAATAATCTGTCGAATGAGTTTTCGTGCTTTGCTAATTACGAAACAAAGTATTTATGACATCAAATAGATTTGTGTATATACCTGAGGCTTTGATATAATTGTTCTTGTTGAATGTTGAATTGTTGCCTTCGTTTTGCTAGCTAATGGATCTTGTTTCTCATTATTTGCCCTGTTATGTTTTTGTCTGTTAATTTTACAAATTTTACGAATGTGAATAGATGTCATATTATATTATTCAAGAAAATGTAAGGATTTTGTTTCTAATAAAGCTGTTAATGTGATAGACTCATGTTCGGGTAAAGTTGTGGTTTGAATCCGCATTCTATTGCATTTGTAAGAGCACGTATTTGAAGTTTTTGACTCAATTTTTTCTGTGATACAGCTACGCCTATGTCTTTTCAGATTTGACACTAATGTAAAGGATTAAGACAACCAAACTATTTCCGCTTGGCCATTATTGCCTGTATACCGTGTATACACCCAATTTTTTAAACTATATTGTTGGTTGGCCTCTTCTAATTCGATAATTCATGGCACCTGCTGGTCAGGGTCTCACTTGGTCAGATGTCCTGTGTTGTATTGTATGTAACCAGGTGAGTTTTGTTCTTCATTTGTGGCTCTTATAGGTTTCATGTAGGTGTTCTAGCTTTTTGATCATCATCGGGCGCCAGTAAATCTGACGTGTGGGCATGTCGTCTGTGTGCGATGCATTGGGAAATTATATGGTAATGCGTGTCCTGAAGATCAGGTTTGTGTATGGCTTGATCCTTACAACATCTGCATATTCTTCACTGTTTACGTTTTAGTGTGAGGGTAAGTATCCTGTTGCGAGCTATCCCGTTAATGCTGCGCTTTTATCAATCGTAACAGATGACGTTGAAGAATACTTGCCACTCTGGGATATAGAAAAAGTTCCTAAGGTATCGTACAAGAGTTTTCTTCTTTTGATTTATTCTGACTCTGAGTGTTGAGCCGATCATCACTTAATCATTAATTTGCTAGGAAGTTTTGTCATTAATCGAGAATGCTCTGGTGTCGATGGCTCAATATCTTCACCGCGCTGAATCGGAAAGAGGGGGAACTGTCTTCAGTGAGGTGTGAAATTATACCTAATTAGGCGGAATTGCTTCCACGAAAATGACGGGTAATTTTAGTGTAACATTTTTTGTTGCAGATTTTATCACGAACTATGCAACGCAAGCTAGTATCGCTTCTCTGTTATCAGCTAGTGGAGGAGGAGGGTCGTTTGCGAGCGTTGAAAACCTCAAGGTTGATAGCTGAACGAATAATGACAGAGGTTTGACATTGGCTATCACTGAAAATAATACTTAGGAACTAGAGTGTCGATTTCTTAACGTTTCCATATTATAAACGCACTGCCATCTTTCCGATCACGATCACAGATCGCCTTCTTCTTTTTGGCAAAAAAGCAAAAGATCTCGCATACTTTCAGACTGCGATCTGACTTTATATAGCCACTCATCCTCCCTTTCCTCTAAACTTCTCTTACAATGTAGTTGGTCGTGGTTAAAGCCATGTTGAATACTTCGAGGCGATAGATAGTTCTTGTGAACTATTTTCGTAAAGGCCTAGGGAGGAAAGGGCTCTCGTTTTTTTTGCTCTATCACCTTCGGCGTCACACTCAGAAACCCTTGTCAAAACGTACGGTCAAGATAGTCTTACCATGCTTTTGGGCTCCTTTCTGATTGTCCGTCCTTTTATGAACTTATTTGGGCTCCGGCCTGAAGCGGTAATCAACACCGTGACATTTCTCTTTTTATCACTGCATATATCTATAAATGCTTGCTACCTAATTTTTCCTTTTTAGCTTCTGCTGATTCAACAGAACTCAGGTAGCCTTAGTACACACTTATGGAACATGCTTGGTCGGGCGCGGCACCTGTCAGTCCTGACCTGGTACCGTTTTCGGCTCTACCCATACCATACCACTTTTTTCGTTCCTTGCAATGTTTAAATCTTTTTGCATCAAGCTATGCAAAGAAGACGTGCTTCAACTTATTCTTTCGCTCTTGATAGGGTGCGTTGAATTCTCGCAAACACTGGTCAGTACGTGTACCGCGCCCGCATGGCACCAGATGCTGTCGAAGACTACCCTCAGGTGTGTTTAGCAATAATCTGTGATTATTTTCAAAATTTCCTTCCAAGTTCTGAATTGTTTTGCTCATGATAGGTTTCAAAAACGTGTGTTGGACATGTTGTGCAGCTTCTCTATCGAGCATCATGCTTCAACGTTATGAAACGTGATGGAGAATCCTCTTTGATGCAGCTGAAAGACGAATTCCGAAATTACGAAGCGCTTCGAAAAGAACATGATGCACAGATTGTGCAGGTATGTGTCATTGTGTGATGCCTTTAATGCATGCTCAAATAATTTTTTTCATGGGCTTTTTTCATTATATGGTGAGTTTAGCAAATTCTCGAGTGAGGTTTTTTTGCTTCAAAATGAAAATTGGAATGAATGGCCAAGGCTCCATTCTGTACTATGAAATGAAGCACTCGCGCTATTCACATGATTTGTCATCACATGTCACTGCTTCTCCAATGATGTCCCATCAACTACTGCCCACACATTGATTCTGGAACGACTCATACACCAACAATCCCCTGACTTGATCCCCAAAAAATTGCGCCGTCATGTATGCTTCTATCCATCCATAAGTCAGAGGTTTCCGATATTGCTCATCAGAGTTGCTAGGAAGTTTTCCATCATTTTCAATTTTTATAAAGAACTGAATATTATAAGAAGAAAGCCAATGAGATCTACAGCAACAATCCCCTACTCGATCCCCGAAAGAATTTCGGTGTCACGTATGCTTCTATGTTTCTATCCATCCATAAGTCCGCAATCATGACATCGACATTTAGTGGCTAGCGGTACTTTATTTATTCATCAGTGGCCGTGTGAATGCCCAACACCACAACGCAGTAACAAAAAACACCAGCTAATAGCTAGTTACTGACTTCAAACAGGTACCTCTCGTTTCGTTTGAAGGTGACGTATTTTAACACATTGCGTACCGCGTGCGCCACCATGTGGCGCACGATTTCAAGCGAAAGATCATAGTTTTATCTGATTTATTTGGCATTTTTCAATGCTCCTGAAGTGTTTGCACTCATTTTCAGAGCCAGGAAACAATAAGTATCATCACTGATAAAATGTTGATTAATGATGATTCATTTTCTAAAAACATAAAAAAGGTGTGGAGATCCTCGTATAACGGCGGTCCGCAAAGTGTTAGAGAGAATTGGTGCGTAAAACACAATTAAACAATAAAGCACTCGGTCACTAAAGTGTTAGGTTTTGTTGCCGCTGTGAACCGATTAGTAGCTATTCCTGTTGAGACATAGATATCTGGCTGTTAGGTGATATCAAAATAGCGATATCAACTACGTTATCAAATGGTATTATCAGCCGTGCCCCGCCCCTCTAGCACGTGTTTATACGAGTGATTTTGAGTCAGTACCTTCTGCTTCAAAAAACTTGTAG